CAACTCCTACGACCTCCCTCCCCCCTCCATCCTACGCTCCCTCACCCACATTTTTAATCTCTCCCTCTCCTCCGGCACTTTCCCCTCCCCTCTGAAACATGCACACATCACCCCCATACTTAAAAAGCCCTCCCTGGACCCCAATGACCCGAACAACCTCTGACCCATCTCCCTGCTCCCATTTACATATAAACTCCTCGAGCGCCTAGTCTACACCCGCCTATGCTCTCACCTCAACGACAACAACCTCCTCGATCCTCTACAGTCCAGTTTCCGTCCCCTACACTCCACCGAAACTGCCCTACTCAAACTCTCCAACGACCTTCTAACCGCCAAAGCTAATGGCCACTATTCAGTGCTCCTACTCCTTGACCTCTCTGCGGCCTTCGACACAGTCGACCCCCCCTCCTCCTCAAAAAACTACACTCCCTCGGCCTCAGAGATTCTGCTCTCTCCTGGCTCTCATCCTACCTGTCACAACGCTCTTTCAGCGTTACCTATAATGCTACCACCTCCCCCTCACTCCCCCTCTCTGTTGGGGTCCCTCAAGGCTCTGTCCTCGGGCCCCTTGTCTTCTCCATCTACACCTCCTCCCTTGGCCAACTCATACACTCTCATGGCTTCAACTACCACCTCTATGCCGACGACACACAAATCTATCTCTCAACCCCCCACCTCACTCCCTCGGTCTCCGCCCGAATCACACACCTACTGAGCGACATATCAGACTGGATGTCGCTCCACTTCCTTAAACTGAACCTCTCCAAAACCGAGTTTCTTGTCTTCCCCGCAGGCCAGAGTACTTGGTGTCATTCTGGACTCCAACCTATCCTTCCAGCCCCAAGTCCAATCTTTAACAAACTCGTGCAGACTCCACCTCCGCAACATCGCCAAAATCCGCACGTTCCTAACCCCAGAAACCACTAAACAGCTCATCCACTCCCTCATCATATCACGACTCGACTACTGCAACTCCCTCCTCACTGGCCTGCCTCGCCGCTGGCTATCCCCGCTTCAGTCGATCCTGAATACGGCTGCCAGACTCATTCACCTTTCCAACCGCTCCATCTCCGCCACCCCCCTCTGCCAATCCCTCCACTGGCTTCCGATTGCGCAACGGATCAAATTCAAAATCCTAACACTGACATACAAAGCTGTCCACCATACTGCCCCGTACTACATCACTGACCTAATATCCAAGTACCGCCCAACATGCACACTCCGCTCCTCACAAGACCTCCTTCTCTCTAGTTCCCTGGTCTCCTCCTCCCATGCCCGCCTCCCAGGACTTCTCCAGGGTGTCACCCATCCTCTGGAACTCCCTGCCCCAACCCATCAGATTATCACCTACTCTCCTCTCCTTTAGGCGCACCCTGAAAACCCATCTCTTCAGGGAAGCCTACCCCACTCCCTGCTAACCTGCCGACCTCCTCCACTCTTCCTACCACTCCATCCCCCACAGCTATCTCCTCCTGTGCCACCATCCCCTCCCTCCTAGATTGTAAGCTCGAAAGAGCAGGGCCCTCGATCCCCTCATGTTTTGCATTGTATTGGTATTGTTCTGTCACATGTTCTGTCCCCCTCTGTAATGTACAGCGCTGAGCGAACCATTGGCGCTTTATAAATACTGTATAATAATAATAAGTAGTGGCTAGAGGGGAGACATTTGGGGATAAGTGGAGGGAGAGGAGGAACATTGGGGATAAGTGGGGGAGAGAGGGGGACATTTGGGATAAGGGGGGGGGACATTTGGGATAAGTGGCACACCCATATCTGGAACAGCAGAGGAGCAGAGGTCTGAGCAGTAGGTGCACAGACTGGAGGCGGCTCAGTGTCCCAGGACTAACAACCAATAGGAAGAAGTCAGAAATGTGTGTATTCACTTTCTTTGGAAAGAGAAGTAAAACTCAGAGTGCTGGCTTTTCATTGCAGAAGATGACTAGCTGCAGTAGAGTGCAGGGTGAGGACAGGTTGTAATATGATACAGGATTAAGAGATAAAATGGGATGTTTCATAGGAGATAGGAGTCCGTGTGTACAGTGTACTCGCTCAGGACAGCAGCCGCACTGAAGGAAACACCTCTCCCCCACCCTCTCCTCTGCTGTCATGTGCAGAGCAGCGAGGGGTTTGTGATGCCAGACTAGAAGCTAGGCTTCTCTGTCTTCAGCTTCTGGAGTAGCCCGCAGCAGGGCTAAATGTAGAACAAAACTTCTTGCCCAGCGCCCAGAATTGGATGTCCCAGGCGTCGGGCGATAGGAATTAAACATTCTTGATATGGGCACTGATTCAAGGGGTCACTAGTAATCTTGGCACTCTAAGGGGTCACTCCTAATCTTGGAACTCTAAGGGGTCACTTCTGCTCTGCACTGTGCACTGCTCATTGCCCTCCACTGTTTGCTGCTCACTGTCCCATCCCCTCCCCCCCCCCACTGTATGTTGCTCACTGTCCCCCTAATGTATGATGCTCACTGCCTCCCCCCCGCATAAAACAGGGGCACACTGACCACCAATGTAGAGGAGGCACATTGACAAAGTATTGTTTTATTCAGTCCTGCAGTCCTGACTGCTACACATTATATGCTACATAGTTCTGACCCCTTCACTCTGTATGCTCTGTTGTATTTTTCACAGTGAAGGGGGCATACTAACTGCTATAATCCTGGAGGTTAATATTATATATTGTTGGGGGTTAATTGTGTGGTTCAGGTAGTTAATAATGCACATTCCTAGGGGTTAATTACTGTGCTGTGCTAGGGTTCATTACTGTGCCATTTGCTGGGATTTAATAGTTGTGCCATGCTAATGGGTTACGTATTGTGAAATATTGGAGGTTTATTGCTTGTGGTTTATTGTTGTGCCATGTTTGCAGTTTATTATTGTGCCATGCTTACAGATATACTGACAGTAAGATTCAATGAACTACCACGATGCTCCAGAGCGCCGTGGTAATTCATTGAAAACTACAAACCAAGAGCCGCTAATGCTGTTGGGACTTGTAGTGCATTCTTTCACAAACCTCTGTGAATGAATGATGCGGCTGTGTGGGTGGAGCCTGGCATAGCCGTGCTGTTGCCAAATCTGACAGCTAGTATGGGGGAACTTCTCCCCATACTTCTGTCAGAGGGAGGAGGGAGCAGCAGGCGGTAGCTGCAGCACTGGGAGCATAATACATGTTCCACCCTAAAACAGGTGGAACATGTAACATGTTCCCATAGATGAACTTATCCTTTAACTGAAACAGCGGCTTAAATCTGGGTGAGAAACGGTCAAACTCTGCTATTAAGGTGAGAGTGTGGAAGACAGTTTCATGTCACAGGTCATACACCATGGCAAGAATGAGCACAGCAACAAGACACAAGGTTATACTGCATCAACAGGGTCTCTCCCAGGCAAATATTTCAAAGCAGACTGGGGTTTTAAGATGTCCTGTTCAAGTTCTTTTGAAGAAGCACAAAGAAATGGCCAAAGTTGAGGAACGTAGATGCAGTGGTTGGCCAAGATAACCTAATGCAGTAAATGAAAGACACATCATGCTTACTTCTCTTGGACATCAGAAACTAGTGGGACCCAGGTACACCCATCTACCGTCTGGAGATCTCTGGGCAGAAGTGGTCTTCATGGAAGAATTGCAGCCAAAAAGCCATACATGGAAACAAGGCAATGCAACTCAATAATGCATGAAAATATAGGAAATGGGGTGCACAAAATTGGCAACAGGTGCTCCTGACTGATGAGTTAAAATTTGAAGTATTTGGCTGTCCTCAACATCTTTGATTCTGTCTGGGATTACATGAAGAGACAGAAGGATATGAGGCAGCCTACATCCACAGAAGATCTAGGATGTTTGGAACAGCCTACCTGCTGAGTTCCTTCAAAAATTGTGTGCAAGTGTACCTAGAAAAAGGGATGCAGTTTTGAAGGCAAAGGGTGGTCACACCAAATATTGGATTTGATCTGTATTTCTCTTCTGTTCATTTGCTTTCCATTTTGTTAATTAATAAAAATAAATTATTAACATTTCTATTTCTGAAAGCATTCATAATTGACAGCATTTTTTCACACTTGCCTAAAACTTTTGTGCAGTAGTGTAAGTGAGCATGTGTATTTATACGCTGCTCTTGTGATGGTCAAATCAATGAAAGGGGGACACTTCCTTCCTATGTTCAAAGACAGATGCTGGACTGTTCTGTTCTTGAAAGCTGTCAGTCATTGTGGATCAATAGCAACAGCCCTTTTTGGGTTTGGAACTAGCAGCCCCTCAAAAATCAGCTTATCTTCTCATAACTACATGCAGGGATGTCTTCTCTCCCCCCTGTAGAGCTGCTCCCAGCTCCATGCCCTGCCAACACTACCAGTCCTCCTGGCTTCTCAGACGATCTCCCAGGACAAAGATACAGGACTGAGCCTAGCACTGTCCTTAGAAAGCTTGCTATGTGTGGCAGTCTTTCCCCTTGTGGTTCCCACAGACTGCTACTGTACTCACTTTGTCCTCTTTGCTCCCTGCTGCTCCAGGTCTTTATCCCATTCACACCTCACTGCTGAATGTATCTTCCTGAGCCAGCCCGAGCCAAGCCTGGAGGCTGGCCCCCCCTAGACCTAGGGGAATCCTCCTAGGCACCAACAGTCTTCCATCTTCCACCTGACTCCTCTGTTAGCCTGACTCTCCGATATTTATGGGCCAGCCCACCACTCTATAAGGGCCTCCAAACCTGGGATTGGCCAGACTCCCATGAACATGTAGATCAGGTCTCCACCCCTTCCTGCTTACTGACTTCTGAAAGGTTTTATGATCCTCCAGAGTCAGGAGGTGGCAATAGAGCCACAACCTGTTGATGAGTCATCCAGCTGACCTGCAATAACCCAACCTCAATTACAGACTCACACAATTACCATGAGTCATAGGCAATGATTTTAGTTACAATACACTACACTATTCTAGTAGCACACTAGAGGGTGCTACACAATAAACATACCCATGTACCCTAAGTGTTACCTGTGTGTTTGTATTTCAGGAGAAGCAAAACCCAAATACAGAATTTCATGCGGAAAACCTATTGGGATCAGTACTTGACTTGTTCTTTGCTGGTACAGAAACTACAAGCAATACTCTGAGATATGCTTTCATAATAATGCTGAAACATCCAGAGATACAAGGTATTACCTTTGCTTCATATGCAATATTTGTTGCTCTAAATCCATATTTGGCACTACTGTCTACATGACAGCTTTGATAAAAGAACTGTTCTTTGTACTAAAACAGATAAAATTAAAGCAGTGTAATCAACCCCTATGTGGGCACTCAGGGGGGAGTGGCCAGGAGCGGCGGCAGGGGACCTGAGAATCAGAGCTACTTTGTGCAAAACCAATGCACAGAGCAGATAAGTATAACATATTTGTTATTTAAAAAAAAAAATAAAAGGATTTCCTTTAGAATCACTTTAAGGTTCATTTAAATTGGAAACAGAAGCCATGTCATCACCAGGCCCTCACGTGATCTGATTACATAGCAATGAGGTAAACTATATTGCCAAACATATTGGGACGCCTGCCTTTACACGCTCATGAACTTTAATGGTATCCCAGTCTTGGTCCGTACGGTTCAATATTGAGTTGGCCCACCATTTCCAGCTACAACAGCTTCAACTCTTCTGGGAAGGCTGTCCACAAGATATAGGAGTGTGTCTATGGGAAGGTTTGACAATTCTTCCAGAAGCGCATTTGTGAGGCACTGATGTTGGACGAGAAGGCCTGGCTCACAGTCTCCACACTAAATCATCCCAAAGGTGTTCTATTGGGTTGAGGTCAGGAGTCTGTGCAGGCCAGTCAAGTTCTTCCTTCCGAAACTTGTTCATCAATGTCTTTATGGACCTTGCTTTATTCCCACAAAGTTGGGAGCATGAAATTGTCCAAAATGTCTTGGTATGCTGAAGCCTTAAGAGTTCCCTTCATTGGAACTAAGGGGCCAAGCCCAACCCCTGAAAAACAACCCCACATCATAATCCCGCCTCCACCAAACTTTACATTTCGCACAATGCAGTCAGGCAAGTACTGTTCTCCTGTCAACTACCAAACCCAGACACGTCCATCAGATTGCCAGACAGAGAAGCAGGATTCGTCACTTCAGAGAACATGTCTCCTCTGCTCTAGAGTCCAGTGGCGGCATGCTTTACGCCACTGCATCCAACGCTTTGCATTGCACTTGGTGATGTAAGGCTTGGATGCAGCTGCTCGGCCATGGAAACCCATTCCATGAAGCTCTCTATGCACTGTTGTGCTAATCTGAAGGCCACACAAAGTTTGGAGGTCTTTAGCTATTGACTCTGCAGACAGATGGCGACTTCTACGCACTGTGCGCACGTGCTGACCCTGGTCTGTCATTTTACATGGCCTACCACTTCGTGGCTGAGTTGCCATTGTTTCCAGTTGCTTCCACTTTGGCATAATACCACTAACAGTTGACCGTGGAATATTTAGTAGCAAGGAAATTTCTCAGATGGACTTATTGTACAGGTGGCAACCTATAACGGGACCACACTTGTATTCACTGAGCTGCTGAGAGTGACCCATTATTTCACAAATGTTTGTAGAAGCAATCTGCATGCCTAGGTGCTTGATTTTATACACCTGTGACCATGGAGGTGATTGGAACACCTGAATCCAATGACTTGGAGGGTCTGAGTACTTTTAGCAATATAGTGTACAACATGTCTCTGTTACATAAACAAAGCATGTCTTACCCTATAGCCATAGGATCAGCAGGCCATACAAAGACTTACTGATTCAAGTGGTTCTAAATATAAACCTTTTTTTTTTACCTTAATGCATTCTCTGCATTAAGGTAAAAGCCACTGCACTGCCATTTACCCCCCACCCAACATTTACCTGAGACCTCTACCAATCAAGCGCTGTGCCTGACTGCAAGTCTACTTTCTCCTCTTCCTAGTCCCACAGGCTTTGTATATAGCAGAGGGGCCTGTTGGCTTCTGCTGCTGCCAATCAATTCCTGTCAAGAGGGAGCAGGGGTCTATGGACACATACAGCCCAACTCAGGAGTGAGCCTGTGTGTGTGCCCCTATAGCAAGTCCTTTGCTGTGAGGGCACATGCAGAACAGGAGAGGCTGAGGTGCTGGAGGGGGACCTCAGAAAAGGTAAGGGGAAAGGGCATTGCACAGAGCAGGTAAGTATAAACCTCTTTATTATTTTAATTTAAAAAAAAATGTGACTTTACAATCACTTTAAGCAGTATTCCTGTGTTTGGTGTGCTGAGCCAGGGCCTCTCCCTTTATCCTTTTCTCTTGTTCATATGCCCAGTACTGCCTGTTTTCCATTCCTGGATCCTGGTTTCTTTGCTTGGTTGGGTTTAGTTGTTTAATAGGTAAAATGAGCTTAGAAAGGTAACCCCCTACAGGCTAATGTCTATCACCGGATTTGTAGCTAAGCGTCTGTCATCTTACTCTTGTATCTCTTTTCAGTCTTTGTCTTGCTCTGGCTTACTTTCTATTTTTTTAATCCCTGAGTTGTCTGACTATCCATTGAAGTTCCAATGCTCGGTTCTCCCAAAGTTCTCTCATCATGTTTTTTTCATCTGTCTCCCTTGCTGAAGCCCTCAATTTCTAAGGCAGCTTAGAAGTTTCTCCTGTAGCTGTTCTGTTTTCTGTATTATGTAATATATACATGGCTCAAGTCTGCTAGCATGCATTCTTCCATTTAAACTGTACTAAGTCAATGTTTCTAGACTTACAAATCATCACATGTGCTGGTGTTACAGGATTATCGGTGATCTGAGTGTGAGGTATGACAAAGATGCAGCCTGCAGTATTTGTGTCAAAGAGGAGAGCACAAAACACATGTGGCTTACTTGCATTCCGAGTTCAATGTGTTAAACAGAAATTGATCACATTATATAGATAATTACTTTCTTTATACTGGCAGGCCATGTGGAAAATCACATACATTTGTATTAGAGAATTAGCATTACTAACAAATAGGACACTAAACACTAAAGTCAATGTCAGAACAAACAAAAAACTGAACAAAGTGTGACTAACCTGTATCAAAGAGGAGAGCACAAAACATGTGTTGCTCACTTTCATTCCTGAGTTTAATGTGGGCTTGTTGGTATTAGTCTCCTGATGTTACACTACAAATCATTAGAGCTCCCTCTAGCTGCACCTTAGTAATAGCATTACTGGGAGATATATTAATTTACTTGCTACACTGGTCATAATTATTATTTTTATATGAGGAATATTTCGAGTCATTTATTCTATGATTTTCATACAACCTACAGAAAAGGTTCAGAGGGAGATTAACACCGTGATTGGACAAGAGCACCTTCCCTCTGTGGAAGACAGGAGCAAAAGGCCATATACAGATGCCGTTGTGCATGAGATCCAGAGATTCGCCGATATTTTTCCTGGAGGATTATTACATGCTACCAGCAAAGACACCACCTTTCGGGGATACCACATTCCCAAGGTAATGGGAGCAATCCTTTGAAATAATATTCATAAAAGAACATAATGCAAAGTACATTGATGCGTATGGTGAGTAAAGAAAGCTCAGCTAAGTAGTTGGTGCGTGGTGTGGTGTTTGCCTAATGTTCTTTGGCATACTACATTGTTTAATAATTTTCCTAGTTAAACATAAAGAAGAAAACATTTAAAGAAGGGGTATCCAACCTTTTGACTTTCCCGGACCACACTGGAAGAAGAGGAATTGTCTTGGGCCACATATAAAATACACTAACAATAAGGATAGCTGGTGAGCAGAAAAAGTTGGGCAGATCACAAGTTAATGATCACTGACACTGATAATGTATCTGAGTAAGCAAACTTCATTTTTCTGTGTAACGCCCTCTAGATTTAGCTAGGTAGGATGTTTGTTAGTCAGAGGCTGAGTAACAGCCTGGGATGAGTCACCCTGGGAGTGAGGTAGTGAGTTCACCTCAGGACAGGCTGGGAAGCTCTAACAGGCCAGGACTTTTAGAACCCTCCCACCTTTTCAGCTTTATGGAAGAGGGAGGGATCTGCCTGTTTGAGGGACTTTGGTCAATCCCCTGTCAGGAGGCTGCGCATGGTGATCAGAGCAACCCTCAAATGTGACAGAGACTGGGGGGAGGTGTGCAGTGTCAGGTGGAGGATAGATTGAGGAAGGCTGGAGTGAGGAGCCCGGGAGGGGCCCCGGAGAGGGAAGCCCATCTACAGGCAGATCACTGGAAAAAAGCATCTCCACTGGCTCAACGTTTCCTGGGGAGGACAGCTTGTGTAGCAGGGAAGGAGCCAGCCCAGTGTAAGGCCTGAAGGCAGCCACCAAACCACCAAGCTAACAGGAGAAGAGAGTGTGAGTACTCTTACACCCCCTGGACCAGATAAGAGAAGAAGGCAGTCAGGTACAACACCCAACTAGCTTCTTATCTGGGTCTGTTCTAAATCAACAGCTCTTGGGCCCCCTTGCCCAGGGATACCTTTAGGCAGCTGGGTGAAGAGGAGGAGTCATCCCGGGTCTGAGGCGGTACACTAGAAAGAGCCTTTGGTTCTCTTCAAGGAAAGACTGTTCCTATCCACATTTTTGTACATAGTTGTTAAGGAGTTTGTCCTCAATTTTGCAGTTCCTTGGGCATCCTATATATCCTTAGACCCCATCTAAGTTCTTAACCCCTTAATAAAATCACAAAACCAAGCTCAATGACTGTTCATTGACTCCAGTGTGCAAAGTGTGAGAATTGCATGTTATCTGGCAGTGCAGCACATAGGGGGACCCAAATCAAATCCAGTGGTCCCTAAGTGGGTAGTGCTACATTTGTAATTTTTTTTATGTTAGAAGTAAAAGAGGGCACCATAAAACTAGTGCGATATTTGACATTGTTTTTGATAAACTAGTGCACCAATATCTAGCTTTATGGATGTAGTAGCAATTCTCAAAGAATTCTCAAGGTGTTCATTAGATGTTTTGGTTTTAATTTTGCTATTCATGTGCTTTATCCTTGACAACAGTTGCTCACAAATATAGGTGCTGCTGAAAACTGATGACATGAATAAGGCGTGATTGTGAAGAGTGGTATATTTTTCTTTGGGAAGATAAAACTTATAAAAGTCCAGTAAAGAAATGATGTCACATTTTTCTTCAACCACATGTGTTTGCTAAGTGTATAGGCATTAAAAAAAAAAAAAAATTCCAAAAAGAAAAATCAACATTTTTAAGTAAGTTTACAATTTTGTGTTTGGACGCATTGATAGTCGTCTTGGGCCTCATGAGGCCCAATGGCTGCAGGTTGGACACCCCTGATTTACGTTTCAATATTTGTATTGAGTTTTTCAAAGATAAACAGGGAAAAGAGATATGGTTCAGGTCAGGTACCATTGGTGGAGTATTTTTAGATATGACTCCCAGTGGGAGCTGCATCGGGTAGCTTTATAGGTGATGTTGAAGGTATTTTCCCAGCATTGTAAAGTTATTTGGTCTGATAGGATTTTTTCCCAATTGGTTAGGGAGGTTGTTTGTAGAATGAATTGTGAGTTTATGAGGTGTGTATAGAAAGTCAATATACCTTTACCTGGGTATTGGGGTTCGGTGAAGAAGATGTAGGCTGTAATTGGTATTATAGTATTGTGGGGTAAGCTAGTTGTTTGTAGACAATGAGCGATTCTTAGGTATGCACAAGTTTCAGTAGTAGGGATATTATATTTGGATTGGAGAATTTGGAAGGGGTATAAGGATTGATTGATATAGAGGTCTGTTATGTTGGTTATTCCTTGTTTTGTCCATTGAGATAGGTCTAATGAGGGAATGAGGAGGTGTAGTATATTGGTTGGAGTAGGTATATGTTTAACGTCTTTGAATTTAGTGGATACGAGGTCCCGCCAAGCTTGTAGGGAGGCTATAATGCAGGGATGTTTTAGTTGGGGTTCTATTTGTTTGGACAAGAGTATATTTTGGGGTTTAAGTGGTTGAAAAGGGAGGGTTTCCATTGTGGACCAAATTTTTTCCTTCGAAGGATTCCACCAGAAATATAATTGGTCCAAGAGAGTAGCTGTGTAATAAGATTTGAGGTGTGGGAGTCCTGCTCCTCCTTTAGTTGTAGGTCGTATTAGAAGATTGGTGGTACATCTCGGTTTTTTTTCGAGTTCCATAGGAACTTTGTGAGGATTGTCTGTAGTTTAGAGAAGAATGAATTAAGGATTGGTAAGGGGAGTGTGTGAAATATGTACAAGATTTTGGGTAAAATATACATTTTTAGTGTCGTCACTCGGCCTAGTTTGGAGAGTTCTGAAGTGCGTAAAGTGTTTATTTCTCGGGGGATAGTTTCAAGCAATATTTTGTGCTTTGCTGTGTATAGATGGTCTGTCGTTGGTGTGAGTCTGATTCCCAAGTAAGGAATGCTGTGGACACCCCTGATTTAGAGAATTAAAGACCACTAAAGCACCCTGAACAGTTTTAGTAATTTAACTATACGAAAGACATTATAGAACTCAGGAGAAAAGCAAACCTCAAAGGCTGTAGTTAATAAAAATACGTATCTTAAAAGTGTATATGATGAAGTATAAAAAAAAACACCCAAACTCCAGGTTTGTACCCACATAGTCTGATTAGAAAATATTTCTCCATGAACATCAACAAAGTTCTTCACAGTGATTGTGGTTAGTATTTGAAATTCTTTGCCAAACATGATGGTGCTCATCGACAATACATATGAATTGTAATGTAAACTTGATGTTATTCCTAGTAGCAATGGCATGCCTCGTTATAGTTCACAGATCCATTAATTTACTGATTAATCCTGGTTTTTAATGAGACTGCCATTAAGACATTTTCCACACTGTCAGGATGAATACAGCTACCTTGGATGTCAGCAACCAGTAGATCATCAGCAGACAGAAGATGCTATACAATAAATCCTCAAAAACTATGTGCAGTCCAAACCCTATAAGTCCAATCTTTAAATCAAATTCTTCTCGTGTTCAAAAATTCCTCCGATAATATACCTCAAAAAGAAAAAAATATTTGCATAGTGCATTATCTTTTTTTATAGCTAAATAAATAATAGTGACTTCATTCACTATTATTTATTTAGCTATAAAAAAAGATAATGCACTATGCGAATATTTTTCTCTTTTTGAGGTATATTATCGGAGGAGTTTTTGAACACGAGAAGAATTTGATTTAAAGATTGGACTTATAGGGTTTGGACTGCACATAGTTTTTGAAGATTTATTGTATAGCATCTTCTGTCTGCTGATTTTTGTACATCTTTTGGGGTGAAGGTGTTGATGGTGTTGTGGGGAATTGGATTTATTTATTAAGAGAGTGGTTTTTGATTTTAACCAGATCATGATCTACCAGTAGATCTTAGCCAGGTGACTGAGAGATTGCAGTCTAGACTTGCTGACCTGTCATACCAGAGCATCAAACAGACTGCAATGCAGAGGGACTACTTGTAAAGTTGGAGCTGTAGTAGGGAGCAAGAGCCGAATAAGCCGATGTCTCCTCTGTAGTGCTGGCTCCTATGCCCTGTCATGGTTGGTGGGTGTAGCACCTGCCAAGCATGACCCATTTAAGTGAATGAGACTGCTCTGCAAGTGCCCTGCAACTTTGTGCAGTACAGCAAACAACGGCTTAAACAGGCAGTGGTGTGTTGCTTTCTCACCACCTGCTTTAACCCCTTGGACCCCACAGAAGCATGCATTTACAGGGCACTTGTAGAATGGCCCCATTTACTTGAATGGGTCTGATTGGCAGGTGGTAGCAACCACCAAAAAGCAACAGGGGGTGTAATTCCTGCTGCGGCATGTATATACCTTTGGCTGCTACCTCAGCAGCTAAAGAGGATAGGGATTGGGGGCGGCGGTAAAACCGTGAATCAACCAAAGAGTTGTACTACCCCCTAACTATACATGTGAACGAGTCCTAAGAGTGCCACTGACAAATGCAACTAAGGGCCCATTCACAAGTGCAGAAGGGACTGCTGCTCCTCTGCAAAGCAATCTGAGTGCTTTTGGCAGGTGGTGAGGAGGTGATATGCTGCCTCCTCACCACCTGATTTAAACCCATGATTACCATGCAATGCACGCAATTGTGACAGGATATTATGGCAATTAGAGATTTAAATTAGGTGTGAGGAGGGGACACTGTGCCTGGTGATCTTTGACTTCTTCCATGTTGTTCAGGTAGATCTCTACCTCTTTAAACTTGCCTACCCCTTCAGCTACCTCATTGGAATTTTGTTAATTTTTTCCTCTAGATCATCAGTCCTGTAGCAATAATTTATTATACCTTAGCTATTTAGAAAAGTTCATGGGTTTTGGTCCTTTTTACCTTTATCAGCTATGTTAACACATCTAAATCAATTTACTACATGTAGGGTTTAATTACAGCAGGCAAATGGGCTGTCCCTTTAAGAGTGAAGTTGGATGGTAGGAGATACGTCGTAAAGTTGGATTAGCCTCTATTTGGACTAACAGTGTATGGTGGGTGTTTAGAATGGGAGTTTTAAGCTCAACAGGTGAGATATCTGGTCCAGTAACTTAGTGTCCAGCAGTCCCAAGTGATCAGGTCTTGGTCCGTAACATAGACCGCAGTCTCTCAGCTCCAATCATGAAGACACTGTGACTTTCTCAGACTTAGTCTCTGAGGCAGCTCTAGCATGCTCAGATGCAGGTCCATCCTCTCTCCCTAATGGAACGGGCAAAGCACAGGTCCTCTTAGCTCCTCTCCAACAGCTCTGGTCCCTTAGATGTGAGGCACAGACCCTGCCAGCAGGTCTGTACCAGTTGCTCTTTTCCCTGGACTTCCTAGCTCTCCACTGAATTGCCTGATAAACAGTGAAACTCTCCCTCTCCAGGAGCAGGGATTTGGAGGGAACTGAAGTCCAGTAGTCATAGGGGTTTATTTACTAAAACTGGTTCACTCAGATTCGCCGGCACTTCTGCATAGAAACCAATCAGCTTCCATTTTTTATTGCTACTGTAAAGCTTAATTGAACAAGCTGAGTTTAGAAGCTGATTGGCTACCATGCACAGGTGCACAGGATTTTGAGTGTACCCGCTTTAGCAAATAAACCCCATAGTCTCCATTAACTAGGATGATGCAGTGCCCCTCTTTAAGAACTACAATTCCCATCATACATAGCTTCTGCACAACAGGTTCTTTCTGAGGCTTCCACTGGCTCCTTCTCTTCTGCCCCTTGATAGGATCTGTCCACTCTCCAAGGAGGGAGGGGTGAAAGAAGAGTGAAAAGGAAATTCCACTGAGCCCACATCAGCCAACATTAACACCTGGAGCCAGCTCTACCTCTATTTTGAAAGCTCAATGGCGAGAGGGGCGAGAAGGGGATGCCCGGAGAAGAGATACTGGCTCAGATACCCACAGTCCACCAGATGTGTACATGGGACCGGCGAGAGGGGTGGGGTGAGCAGGCAGACTCATAGCCAGCAGCACCTGGCTACACTTTCAACTATTTTACCATTGTTTACCATTTACAATTCACCGTGCCTGGCACAGCCTGCTTGATTCATTGTATTGTTGACAGAAAACATTTTAGTTCTAACTCTCAGTTTTAATGCAGGTTGGAAAATCAAAGTAATAATCTGGTTCCTTACTTTAGATGCCTCTTCAGTATTGTCACAGTTTTATGACACCCCATTCATAGTTTGTCATAGCTAGAGCATCACAGGCTGCCAAAGCCTGATTTACAGAACGACACAATTTAGAACAATTCTAAGGAAAAATCAAAGACAATAATTTACTTCTTATTTTCATTGCAGAACACTGTGGTGCTTCCTATAATAACATCTGTCCTGAAAGACCCTAATTGTTTCAAGAATCCAACTCAATTTGATCCAGGGCACTTTCTTGATGCGAATGGGGCCTTTAAGAAGAATGATGCCTTCATGCCATTTTCTGCAGGTACCAGAGAACTGTGTAAAAATTAAAGCAGGAATCCATTCTATTGATACAAAATACTACCAACAACAAACTGTACATAGTATGACAGAATGGTATAGAACAGATGAGGTTTAACATATGACTGTGAAGAGTAAAAATATAAATATGTATCCAAGTGAATCTCAAAAGGGACAACACATACTAGGACATTCATTTATTTGCTTTTTGAAGTTTTATTTAATCATCTTCAGTCCAGCAGTGCAATGATATGAGAAACCCACTGGTCAGGACTGCAGTCTCATGCATTCTGTGTTGTGCAGCTGCTTTACAACCAGAAGACTGCAGTGGGGTCAGATCATGGGTGCAAATAATTTTCTTCTCATTGATCAAGAATGTTCACAAATTAAGGCAAAATCTGTTTCCAGTCCTTCCCTCCCATGCCCCTTCATCCCATCCTGCCATCTCATATTCTTTTCTTACCTGGTGAAGTCAGTTATACTTACCTGAGTCCCTGCATCCAGGTCCCTCACTGATGCTGTTTCCACCTTCTGGGACTACTAGTTCAGCACCTGCATGTTAACCCTCACCAGCCGTCCCCTTAACTCCCCTCGGTCTGACATCAAAACTCTTCTGGATCCAAAGAGGAAGACTTCACTTGCTACCTGAATACAGGGCTCACTAGGAAACCAGTAATGAGAAGTACCCGGCGCTGGATAATTACTTGGCCACCGTAAGTAGAGGCAGGAATTTAAATAATAATTTTTTTCTTAACTAAATCAGGCAAAGGTGGGTTGGATGGGGTAAACATTTATCCTGAAGTTGGACTTTAAGTTATAAAATGGTAAAAATGTTAAAAAAAAAAAGGGCAGAGTCAATGAACATACTGGTCTTTTTTGCAATCACTTTTCTATGTTTCTAGAATGAGACCCATATGCGTAATTAGTGTCTGAAAGAAACTCTGGTGCATAGAGTTGTAAAGCTCTGGCCTTCAGCATCACAAGCCTAGAATCGGATGTTCCTGGGCACCAGATTACTGACACATGATTTTGCATTGCTGGTTGGTCTTGTAATGGTATTGAAAGGCTGATTTTTTTGTTTCCATTCCCTCTAGGAAAACGCATGTGTGCAGGAGAAGGGCTGGCTCGAAAGGAACTCTTTTTGTTTTTTCTACTATATTGCAAAGATTTACTTTAAAACCTACAGTTGACAAAAAAGACCTAGATATCACCCCAGTACCCAACACCAATGCTTCAAGAGCTCGGAATTATAAAATGTTTGCTGTCCCTCGGTGAAATAGCTATTATGCAATGTCCAACATGGCGTCACACTGTGGCCAGATGCTGGCAACTATACATTTTTGGCAGTACCCACTTTATTGTAATATATTGTAGTGGTTCCAGATGTGCTATTTTGCAAAGTAAATAATTTTTGAACTGGATGTAGACTTCAAAATCTTTATGTAAAAAATCAAATGTAAAAATGATACAAAATCTCCAGTATTCCGTGGCCCTTACTTTGCATGTTTTAACATGTTTCATTCATCTACCAGCAGGTGATAATGTTGCCTCACATAATTATCTTTTTTCAGGTCTGTTTTGAAGCCTTCTATATATGGAAAAAGGCCTTGTTACAGTTACAGCTAAAAGTCCTACCCAAGCTGAACCTGCATGTAAATACATTACTTGCAAAAAAATGCTCTCTCCTTTGTAAAATTTTGCAGAAGAAAAAATCAACAAGGATAATAAAAAGAATTGTGGTTTGAAGGGCAGTGATTTCACTGTGATGTTGTTTCAGAATCTATAGAGATTCTGAACTTTTTGGAAAGGGATGTAGCCCCTTAGGATTTACTGAACATTTGGGTCCCCCTATGGTCCTACACAGCCAGGCAACTCAACTTTCCTTCAGATCTCACACACAGGATACAGTAAACAGTCATTGAACTTGTTTTGGGTTTTTTGTTTAAGGGGTTAATAACTTGGATGGGGTAAGGGGTGTATGGGATGACCAAAGAAACTGCAAACTGAGGCTAACTTCCTTATAACTATATACAAGTCAAAAGATAGCATTTCTCTTCTTGAAGAGCTCTGCAGCCCCTCCTGGTGTACCACCCCAGACCCCAGATAAATCCTCTTTATTTACCGAGCTGTCTGAAGGAATCCTTGGGCAAGGGGATCCAGTGCCTGTCACTTTAAGATATACAGTCCTGGGTAAGGAGCTAATCAAGTTTTCCACCACAGTGCTCTTTTCACCTTTAGCTGGCCCAGAGGGTGTAGGATTACTCTATTTCCTGTGAGCTGGTTTAGGTAGGTGGCTGCCTTCAGGCCTTCTCCTGGGCTGGCTCCTTTCCTGGTTCCACAAGTAGTCTTCCCTCTGGGGACTAGGGAGGCTGAGAAATCCTTTTTTCAAGACCCAGCCTGCAGGTAGGCCCCTTCCCACTGGGCCTCCTCCCAGGCTCCTGCATCTCAGCCTTCCTCACATCTTCCACCCAAACTCTCCTGTCTTTGAGCAGACTCATCCACTCTTAAGGGTTTTCTTAATCCCATGACAACCCTCCTGCCTGGGGATTGACTAGGATTCCTCAAGAGTGAAGACCAGATCCTCCTCACCCCCACCCACTGAGTTCTAGTGAATTCTCCAAGTCTCTAAATCAGGGGGAGATATTAGAGAGTTGATCTGCAGAGCTTCTCAGCCCTGACCCAAATTTGACCTTCTGGCTATCACCCAGGCTGCTTCTCAGCCATCTAACTAAAAAAAATAATTAGCTAGCTCCCCCCAGCTAGCTAGGAGGGTGCTATGGGGAGATGCTGAAAGTGTTTCCATACGATGATTTTTTTGAGTGATTTGTGAAATTTCAGATCCCGTAATATTAAACCAGCAGGTTAAATCAAAGGAAAAAACAAATAAAGCATACAAAAAAGGAAAGACGTAGTGAGATATGTTTAGCATTAGTTCAGCTGTCTCAGAAGAAGAAGAACTTGGGTTAAATTTAAAGTGAATTACTTGCTCAGATCATGCACATTAAAGCATTTACATATTCTAAGCAAGCTGCAAAACATGCCTTTAATCATCTCTTTATCTATGAGTATTGTGGAGAAATTGAACTTGGAATGTTCACAGCATATGAATTGAAATCTTAAAGTGTATGTAAAGGGAAAACTGTGTCTTTCAGCTTTGGAGTAGGATTAGGCCCTATGCAAAGCTTTTTTTGCTGTCTATGTGCTAACTGGGAAAATTCACCCCTGTATTTAGTGTGGTGAACAATGTCACACAGATACGAAGTGGAAGTAAATCATGACTTTTAGGCAGCCCATACACTGATCTTTTTTTTTCTTTTTTGTTCAATCAGCAGATTAAATGAAAAAAAAAAAAAAATCCAATTCCCCCATCGACACATTCGGTGTGGATAGAGGAATCAGTCCCATTGTGGTATTGTATCCTGATAGGGGAGAGCCTTCCCTGCCATTAGAATACATCGATCAGTGTTGCCAGCTATAGGCAGCATCACCGATCATTTAGGAAAAATCTGAAAGGCTGCTTGTACACAAGTTGTCCGATAGATCGATTTTTGTACAACCAGCCTGCAAGGATCAAAATTTGGCTGGTTCCTGCTGAACTGGCCAAATTTCGATCCATGTATGGCCACCTTGAGTGTTGTCATGCGAGCAAGCGGTGGGGATATTCTTCAAATGGGGACAACTGTTTCAGTAACAACTGTATACAATGGGAATTCCTCTCTTTTTGGAGAGATTTTCTTTCCCTTTCTGTCATACCTCCAAGACAGAAAGTGAACAAAAATTTCCCTGGCAGGAAAAAAAAAAAGATGGATTTTAACCACTCCCTACTTTATCCAAAGCTTAAAAAGGTTTTGCTTTAAATACACTTTTTTATGGAGAGCTTAAATATAGTGGTAGCCACCTTTCTTGATATAAGAGGCCTGAAATTCAGCCTCTGGCATCTTCAAAGGACTGCACATAATGTTATGTAAATGTAATACTAAACAAATTTGACAGAAACTGCAAACATACTATATGAAATAGTGAAAAACTGAAAACATGCTAAAGAAGATATCCAAGAACTATGAATATGATATAGTAGATGGTCGAAGACTGCAAACATGTTATAGGAGATGACCAAAGATTACAGGCATGCAATAAGAGATGGTCAAAGACTATGAACATGCTATAGGATATGGTCAAAGACTACGAACTTGCTATGGAAGATGGTCAAATACTACGACCCTGCTATAGGATATGTTCAAAGACTATGAACATGCTAAAAGGAATAGTCAAAAACTACAATAGGAAATGCTCAAAGCCTATGAACATGATGTAAGATATGTTCAAAGCCTAAGGACATGCTATAGGATATGGTCAGACTATGAACATGCTATAGGAGCTAGTCAAAAACAATGAACATGCTATAGGAGTTGGTCAAAGACTACATACATGCTACAGGGAATGGTCACAGACTATGTACATGCTAAAAAAGATGGTCAAAGGCTGGAAACATGCTAGAAGAAAAGGGACAAAGACTGTGAACATGCTTAAGAAGATGGTCAGACTGAGAACATATTATATGAGTTTTTGGAGACTAGGACATGCTTCAGGAAACCCATAGACTGGAGACACATTACATGAGATTACTCTTACAGCTCCTTTGGAAATCAATGCTTCAATGATGGCGTCCCCAAAATGATTTCTGCCACAGCAAGTTGCATACACAAAGAGAAAAGGGGTGGAAAGAATAGAAAACCGTAAGATGGAGTGAAAGAAATAAACCAAACCATTTAACTTCTAAAAGTCAATCTTAAAGTATAGTTCTAAACCCAAACACAAAAATTTATTCTATTGTGACTTAACAATCCTTTAACCACCTCAATACGGGGCACTTTCACCTCCTTCCTGCTCAGGCCAATTTTTCAGCTTTTAGTGCTGTTGAATGACAATTACTCAGTCATGCAACACTGTTGCAGCGGTTTTGCGGACACTATTTTGCACACCAACGTTAAAATACACTTTAATGAATTTCAATGCACACTAACACAATATAATACCCAATTTTTGGTAAGATACAAAAATATGGTGTTGTGCCAAGTAAATATATACAAAACATGTCACACTTTAAAATTGCGCACGCTTGTGAAATGGCGCCAAACTTCGGTATTTAAAAATCTCTATAAGCGACACTTTATAAACCTTTACAGGTTACCAGTTTAGAGTTATTTGAACTGCCGTTGAGCTAAACTGCTTTGTTTAATCTGAACTGCCTAGTTTAATCTGAACTGCCTTGTTTGAGCTGAACTGCCATTGAGTTGATATGCCGTGTTTAATCTGATCTGCTGTTGATATGAATTGCCTTTTTTGATTTGAACTGCCTTGTTTAATCTGAACTGCCGTTGAGCTGTCTTTGATCTTAACTGCCTTGTTTAATCTAAACTGCCGTTGAACTGAACTGTCTTGCTTAATCTGAACTGCCTTGTTTAACCTGACCTGCCATTGATCTGATCTGCCTTTTGAGCTGAACTGCCTTGTTTAATCTGAACTGCCATATATCTGATCTGCCTTTTGAGCTGAACTGCCTTGTTTAATCTGAACTGCCATTGATCTGATCTGCCTTTTGAGCTGAACTGCCTTGTTTAATCTGAACTGCCATTGAGCTGAACTGCCTTGTTTAATCTGAACTGCCTTGTTTAATATGAACTGCCATTGAGCTTAAGTGCCTTGTTTAATCTGAACTGCCTTGTTTAATATGAACTGCCATTGATCTGATCTCAGTTGAACGGCCGTGTTTTTATTTTTTGCGCAATAAACAAAAAGAGAGCAAAAAGATTGAAAAAAATTTTTTCTTTGTTTCTATTATAAAATATTGCAAACAGGTAATTTTTCTCCTTCACTGATGTGCGATAATGAGGTGGCACTGATAGGAGGCACTGAGAGGCGGCATTGACAGGCTACACTGATAGGCGGCACTGCAGGGCACAGGTGGGTTGCACTGCTAGGTCACTGCTGGGTGTCACTTATGGGCCCTGATCATCAGTGCCGATCACTTTCCGGTTATCGGCAGTACTTTCCTCATGCTGTGACAATGTGAGGAAATTGCAGCCGATAACCGACAACTGTATTTACCTGGTGATCTACTGTGTCATTGGATACAGCTGATCACATGGTAAAAGGCTGCTGTGATTGGCCGTTTACCTTATCACATGATCAGCTGTGTCCGTATGGGGGCGTGTGTTCTGGAATGACATCCATGGACGTCATCCCGGAACTAGACAACCGCGCTGTAGCCGTCTTTCGGCTATACTGTGGTAAGGAAGAGGTTAATTAATACTCCAAGATATATATATCACCATTTGTAGACACTATAACTTTCATGCAAACCAATCACTATACACTTATTGGGATTTTTGTTAACCAAAGACATGTAGCAGATTATTATTTTGGCCTAAATTAAGAATTTTTTTTCCCCAAATTTTTTTATGGGGTATGTTTTATAGCAAAAACCTTCTTTTTTAATTTTGGTCATTGTTCAGTTATAAAAAAATAAACCCAGCGATGATCAAATACCACCAAAAGAAAGCTGTGTGTGAAAAAAAGGATATAAATTCCATTTGTATGCAGTGTTGCATGACAGCACAACTGTCATTTGAAGTAGCGCAGCGCCGTATAGCAAACAATAGCCTGGGCAGGATTGGGGGGGGGTGTTGGCGAAAAATTGTCCGAAGGGCAAGTGGTTTTGTTTCCGTAACCAGTTCCCAACCATGCTATAGCCTAAAGTCATCTACAGCGCGGTTGGCTAGTTCTGGGAGGGCATCCATGGACGTCCTCCCAGAACCACAGCCCGCACGCACGATCTGTGATCACAGCTGATCACCTGACTAAGGAATGGACCAATCACAGATGCTTTTACCATGCGACCAGTTGCGTCCAATCACAGCTGATCACCGGGTAAATAGGAAATGGTGGTTATCAGTAGTCCTCCCCTTCCGCTGACAGCGCATGAGGAGAGCTGGTATGCGGCATGTCGCAGGGGAACATCTACACTGATCATCAGGGCACTGATAATCCGTGTCCTGGTGATTAGTGTGGCCCCATCAGTGCAGCCAATAGTGCCACCTAACAGTGCCCATCAGTGAAGGAGAAAAATTACTTGTTTACAAAACATTTTAATAGAAACTAAGAAAAACGATTTTTCCCCTTAAAAATTTGTGGTCTTTTTTAGTTTATCAAAAAATAAAACCCCCAGTGGTGAATAAATACCACCAAAAGAAAGTTTGGTCTAAAAAAAATGATAAAAAAGTAGTTTGGGTCCAGTGTTGCATGACCGCACAATTGTCAAAGTATGAGGGCACTGAAAGCTGAACATTGGTAAGGGGGAGGGGGTAAAGCCAGGAAATAGGGAAGCGGCACGCTGAATGATGCTTTGTGAATGGGGACACGAAACTAACAGAAAGACGTTGTCCTAGTCCGAGTGCTACAGAGGAATCCTGGGAAAGCAACATGGCTCCAATCATCAACACACCACACACACCCAATGCAATGTACACTAGGCCAGCACACCCCTCCACACACGGTGGTTGGGGAGCGGACTGTGCAATCACACGGTGACCCCATCCTGCACCGTTCGGTAACCTGCTACACGGCACGGCAAGCAGCACACACCCCACACCATCACCCCTCCATTGCAGGACAGCCCGATCATGTGATCAAACATCACTCCCGCCCCTTCAAGGACACAGGATAATAGCTCCACTTTCCCAAGGAAAAAACATGTGACCTCCACTCCACTTCTTTATTTAAACTTCAATGTTAACTAGTAGCCGACCGCAGATAGCCGAAAATGACGGCTGCACTGCGGCCGGCCAGTTCTGAGTGGAAAACGTCATATGACGTCCTCCCAGAACGCGCTCTCCTCCGCGCCCCAGGGGGAGCACACCCGGCGATCTCCGTGATCGCTGTGTCCTATACGGACAACAGCTGATCACGTGATGTGGTAAAAGGCCAATCACAGCGGCCTTTTACCACGTGATCAGCGGTGTCCAATGACACGCTGATCAGAGGGAAATGCAAGTGCCGGTTCTCGGCTGCACTTTCCTCACGCTGTCAGATCGTGAGGAAAGTACTGCCGAGAACCAGCAGTTGTCAGAGCGGGGATCGGCACCGATCATCAGGGCACTGATGATCAGTGCCCTGATGATCGGTGCCCAGCAGTGCCACCCGCAAGTTCCGCCCCACCTGTGCCCAGCAGTGCGCCCACTAGCTCCGCCCACCTGTGCCCAGATCACCCACCTGTGCCCAGCAGTGCACCCACCTGTGCCACTCTGCATTGTCACACATCCTGTGCCCCAAAAGTGCCACCTACCTGTGCCCAGCAGTGCCACACACCTGTGCCCACCCACCTGTGCCACCCACCTGTGCCCACCCACCAGTGCAGCCCAGCAGTGCTGCCAGTCAGTGCCACCATCAGTGCCCAGGGTTGTGCCAGTCTCAGTGCCGCCAGTCAGTGCCCAGAAGTGATGCCAGTCAGTGCCGTCTATCAGTACCCATCATCAGTGTCACCTATCAGTGCCTCCGCCTATCAGTGCTGCATATTAGTGCCCCGCCTATCCGTGATACCTCATTAGTGCTGTCTATCAGTGCCCGCCTATCCGTCCGTGCCACCTCATTAGTGCTGCCTATCAGTGCCCTTTAGTGCTGCCATATCAGTGCCCATCAGTGCCGCCTATCAGTGCCCATCAGTGCTGCCTCATCAAACGCACATCAGTGAAGGAGAAAAAAATACCTGTTTGAAAAAATTTTATAATAGAAACAAAGAAACTTTTTTTTATTTTTTTTTTCAAATTTTTTTTTGCCACTTTTTTTATTTATAGCGCAAAACGTAAAGTGCCCAGTTGGCGATTAAATACCACCAAAAGAAAGCTCTATTTGTGAGAAAAAAATGATTAAAATTTCATATGGGTATAATGTTGCATGACCGCACAATTGTCAATCCAAAGTGCGGCAGCGCTGAAAGCTGAAAATTGCCTGTAAATAAGGGGGTATAAGTGCCTGGTAGGCAAGTGGTTAAAGAATGGCTGCAAACTGGAGCTCCATTCAACAGGAAACATGTGACCTCCACTCTAACGTTTTTTAAATGAACTTTAATGTAATGTTTCCTGTCGAGCTCCAGCCTGCAGCCATTGGTTGTTTGTAGCATTCACATTATAGTTTGTTTGAAAAAAAAAAAAAAACAGTGGAGTGGAGGTCACCATGATATAGCGGGGGGACTGCGGGCGGTCATTCTGACACTGTGCACTATACACAGTGCAGCACACGTACAGCTCAGTACACCGTCCATACATGTCACCATAAAGTGCAGCACATGTACAGTTCAGTACTGTCCATACGTGTCAGAAAGTGTCGCTGAGAACGTGAATGTGTGAGGAGCAAGGGCTCATGGAAGTGCCATGCCTACTCAAAGCTGATAGGCGGCAGGAAAAGGGGCGGGGCTTGATCTAAGTTCGGCTTGAGAGGCAGCCAATCAGGTGCGTGGTGAGAAAGCTGAGCTCTTGAGGCTCAGTCTGTGATTGGCCAACTACAGGGCGGTTGTGTTTGGATGGTCATACAGAAATTCCCCCCGTCAGCTGCAGCTTGGAGGGGGGACGGAGACTCCAAGGCTGTTAAGGTAAGAAAACAGGCCACACCTACTCAAAACTGATAGGCGGCAGGAAAAGGGGCAAGGCCTGATCTAAGTTCGGCTTGAGAGGCAGCCAATCAGGTGCGTGGCGTGAAAGCTGAGCTTTTGAGGCTCAGTCTGCGATTGGCCAACTACAGGGTGGTTGTGTTTGGATGATCATACAGAAATTCCTCCCCGTCAGCTGCAGCATGGAGGAGGGGGCAGGGACTCCACGCCTGTTAAGGTAAGAAAACATAGGCCACAACCTACTCAAAGCTGATTGGTGGCACAGAAAAGGGGGGGGGCCTGATCTAAAGTTTGGCTTGAGAGGCAGCCAATCAGGTGCGTGGCATGAAAGCTGAGCTCTTGAGGCTCAGTCTGGCGATTGGCCAACTACAGGGAAGTTGTGTTTGGATGATCATACAGAAATTCCTCCTCGTCAGCTGCAGCGTGGAGGAGGGGGCGGGGACTCCGAGGCTCTTAAGGTAAGTAAAAAGGCCACACCTACTCAACACTGATAGGCAGGCAGGAAAAGAGGGCGGGCTTGATCTAAGTTCCGCTTGTGAGAGGCAGCCAATCAGGTGCGTGGCGTGAAAGCTGAGCTTTTGAGGCTCAGTCTGTGATTGGCCAACTACAGGGCGGTTGTGTTTGGGTGATCATACAGAAATTCCTCCCTGTCAGCTGCAGCGTGGAGGAAGGGGCGGGGACTCCAAGCTGTGAAGGTAAGAAAACATAGGCCATGCCTACTCTAAGCTGATAGGCAGCAGGAAAAGGGGGCGGGGCTTGATCTAAGTTTGGCTTGAAAGGCAGCCAATCAGGTGCGTGGTGCGAAAGCTGAGCTCTCGAGGCTCACTCTGCGATTGGCCAGCTACAGGACGGTTGTGTTTGGATGATCATACAGAAATTCCTCCTCGTCAGCAGCAGCGTGGAGGAGGGGGCGGGGACTCCGAGGCTCTTAAGGTAAGAAAACATAGGCCATGCCTACTCAAAGCTGATAGGCAGCAGGAAAAGGGGGCGGGGCTTGATCCAAGATCGGCTTGAGAGGCAGCCAATCAGGTGCGTGGTGCGAAAGCTGAGCTCTTGAGGCTCAGTTTGCGATTGACCAACTACAGGGCGGTTGTGTTTGAAAGATCATACAGAAATTCCTCCCTGTCAGTTGCAGCGTGGAGGAGGGGGCGGGGACTCCGAGGCTGTTAAGGTAAGAAAACATAGGTCATGCCTACTCAAAGCTGATAGGCGGCAGGAATAGGGGGCGGGGCTTGATCTAAGTTCAGCTTGAGAGGCAGCCAATCAGGTGCGTGGTGCGAAAGCTAGCTCTTGAGGCTCAGTCTGCGATTGGCCAACTACAGGGCGGTTGTGTTTGGATGATTACACAGAAATTCCTCCCCGTCAGCTGCAGCGTGGAGGAGGGGGCGGGGACTCCGAGCCTGTTAAGGTAAGAAAACAGGCCACACCTACTCAAAACTGATAGGCGCAGGAAAAGGGGGCGGGGCTTGATCTAAGTTCCGCTTGAGAGGCAGCCAATCAGGTGCGTGGTGCGAAAGCTGAGCTCGAGGCTCAGTCTGTGATTGGCCAACTACAGGGCGGTTGTGTTTGGGTGATCATACAGAAATTCCTCCCTGTCAGCTGCAGCGTGGAGGAGGGGGCGGAGACTCCAAGGCTGTGAAGGTAAGAAAACATAGGCCATGCCTACTCAAAGCTGATAGGCAGCAGGAAAAAGGGGGCGGGGCTTGATCTAAGTTCGGCTTGAGAGGCAGCCAATCAGGTGCGTGGTGCGAAAGCTGAGCTCTTGAGGCTCAGTCTGCGATTGGCCAACTACAGCGCGGTTGTGTTTGGGTGAATCACACAGAAATTCCTCCCCGTCAGCTGCAGCGTGGAGGAGGAGGGGCGGGGACTCCGAGGCTCTTAAGGTAAGAAAACATAGGCCATGCCTACTCAAAGCTGACAGGTGGCAGAAAAGTGGGCAGGGCCTGATCTAAGTTCGGCTTGAGAGGCAGCCAATCAGGTGCGTGGCGCGAGGAGGAGGGGGTGGGGACTCCGAGCCTGTTAAGGTAAGAAAACAGGCCACACCTACTCAAAACTGATAGGCGGCAGGAAAAGGGGGCATTGCCTGATCTAAGTTCCGCTTGAGAGGCAGCCAATCAGGTGCGTGGTGCGAAAGCTGAGCTCTTGAGGCTCAGTCTGTGATTGGCCAACTACAGGGCGGTTGTGTTTGGATGATCATACAGAAATTCCCCCCCGTCAGCTGCAGCTTGGAGGAGGGGGCGGAGACTCCAAGGCTGTTAAGGTAAGAAAACAGGCCACACCTACTCAAAACTGATAGGCGGCAGGAAAAGGGGGGCAGGGCCTGATCTAAGTTTGGCTTGAGAGGCAGCCAATCAGGTGCGTGGTGCGAAAGCTGAGCTCTTGAGGCTCAGTCTGCGATTGGCCAGCTACAGGGCGGTTGTGTTTGGATGATCACACAGAAATTCCTCCCTGTCAGCTGCATGTGGAGGAGAGGGGGCGGAGACTCCAAGGCTGTAAAAGGTAAGAAAACATAGGCCATGCCTACTCAAAGCTGAAAGGCAGCAGGAAAAGGGGGCGGGGCTTGATCTAAGTTCGGCTTGAGAGGCAGCCAATCAGGTGCGTGGTGCGAAAGCTGAGCTCTTGAGGCTCAGTCTGCGATTGGCCAACTACAGGGCGGTTGTGTTTTGGTGATCATACAGAAATTCCTCCTCGTCAGCAGCAGCATGGAGGAGGGGGCGCGGGACTCCGAGGCTGTTAAGGTAAGAAAACATAGGCCATGCCTACTCAACCTCATGGCACTCGGCTTTCCAGGGAGCACCAGCGATCAGCAGACAGGAACGACCAGCGATCAGCAGACAGGAACGACCAGCAGACAGGGACAACCAGCGATCAGCAGACAGGGACGACCAGCAATCAGCAGACCGGGACAACCAGCGATCAGCAGACAGGGACGACCACGGCTCTCAGTTAGGGACAACCACGGCAGGCTTGCAGGGTCTTGGCTGTGGGGTCTGTTTAATGTGAACTGCCTTGTTTAACCATTTCAATACCGGGCAATTTTACCCCTTCCTGCCCAGGCCATTTTTCAGGTTTCAGCACTCTCACACTTTGAATGACAATTGCGCGGTCATACAACATTGTACCCAAACTAAAATTTTATCATTTTCTTCACACAACTAGAGCTTTATTTTGGTGGTATTAAATCATCACTGGGGTTTTTTTTTTTTTGCTAAATTATCAAAAAAAGACCGAAAATGTTGAAAAAAAAACACGTTTTTCTTTGTTTCTGTTATAAAAGTTTGCAAATAAATAATTGTTCTTCCTAAATTTAGGCCGAGATGTATTCTGCTACATGTCTTTGGTGAAAATAATCCAAATTAGGATGTATTTTTTAGTTTGTAGGAAAGTTATAGAGTTCACAAACTATGGCATAGATCTGAATATTGAGATCAATCCTGAAGTACTGACGGCAATCTAATTTCTTGAGGTCCAAAAATTTCAGAACAGTACAGATATCCCCCAAATGACCCCTTTTTTTCAGAGTAGACAGTCCGACATACTTCATAAGAGGCATGGCGAGTTTTTTGAAGTTGTATTTTTTTGTCATAATTTTTCAGAAAATGAAAAATTGCAAAAAATTATTTTCACTATTTTTTTTTTACATACTGTCACCAGTGCAGTACAGCATCATCATATAAACTTGCATGGCGGTGATTAGGGACACTGACTGGTGACAGTATGAAAAAAAAATATATATATTTTTTTATTTTTTTTAATTTGTTTTATTATTTATAATTTTTTATTAAATTTTTTTCTTTTTTTATGATTTTTTTTTCATATTTCACTATGTCCAAAGTAGTACAATGTTACCATAGTAACATTGTACTACTATGGGGAAGTGATGAGTATTTTCTTTTTTTTATACAATTTGCTTATAGCAAGGAATTTACCTGAATGACATCGATTCATTCAGGGCTTTTTTTTTTTTGTGCTTAGCTGTGATTTGGCCACAGCTATTCACATGACATGTGATTGCTGTGACCATTCACAGCTAGACAGTAGTATACAATGGATGGCATGAATGAAGCCATCCATTGTATACAACTGTCACGTGACCCGCTGTGATTGGTCACAGCAGGTCACATGGTATCGGCAACGGGGCCGATACTCAGAACTGTCATCGGCCGTGTCCGAGGTACACAGCCGGTGACAGATCGCGCTGCTGCGCGGCACCGCAAGCGCAAAAAGTGGTGTGCATGTGCGAGAGGACGCCATTTGGCGTCCAACCCGGAAATCCAATACATTTTGCTGGCCACCTTTTGGCTATTGGCTGGGCGTGTATTGGTTAACCGCTAGCCTACAGGGCACTTATACCCCCTTCCTGCCCAGGCCAATTTCCAGCTTTCAGCACTGTCGCATTTTGAATGACAATTGCGCGGTTCAAACAACAACGTACACATATGAAATTTTTATCATTTTTTTGTGACAGATAGACAAACCAATAACCACTGAACATTTTGAAAAAAAAATGTTTTTTTCTTAGTTTTTGTTATAAAATTGTGTAAATAAGTGATTTTTCTCCTTCCCTGATGTGTGCTAATGAGGCTGCACTGATGGGCACTGATAGGCTGCACTGATGGGCACTGATGAGGAGGCACTGGTAGGTGGCACTGATGGGCATTGACAGGCATCACTGATGGGCACTGAAAGGCAGCACTGATAGGTGGGCACTGACTGGCACTGTTAGGCGGCACAGCACTGATAGGTGACACTGACTGGCACTGATAGGTGGCACTGATTGGCAGACTGATAGGTGGCACTGACTGGCAGCACTGATAGATGGTACTGATTGGCATTGATAGGTGGCACTGACTGGCACTGATGGGTGACACTGAAAGGCAGCTCAGATGGGCACTGATATGTGGCAATTGATGTGCACTGGTGTGCACTGATGGGCACTGGCACAAGGCACTGATGGACACTGACAGGTGGAACTGCTGGGGCTACACTGATCATCAGGGCAGCACACTGATAATTTGAACTGCCGTTGAGCTAAACTGCTTTGTCTTGAGCTGAACGGCCTTGTGTCTGAGCTGAACGGCCTTGTCTGAGCTGAACCCGCAGTTGTCCTTGTCTGAGCTGAACGGCCTTGTCTGAGCTGAACGGCCTTGTCTGAGCTGAACGGCCGTTGAGCTGAACTGTCTTGTTTAACCACTTGCCGCCCAGCCACCGCATTTATAAAAACGGTTTTTGCAGGGCAGCACGGCTGGGCAAAACCACGTTTTAAAACGTAGTTTTGCAAAACAGGTAGGGGGCAGCGCGCGCAGAGGCGCGTGCCCGCCTTACCTGTCCCGCGGGTGTGTCAGCAGCGGGTGTCAGCCGCCGGGTCACGGCCGGTGATTTACCGGCTGTTTTCCCCTGGGATTAGCGGTGATTGCTGTCAGTTCCCTGACAAGCTGAAGAGGGAGAGAAAGAGTTTCTCTCTCCTGATCAGCCTGCCCCCCTCCAGCCACACACCCCCGCCCCCTAGTAAAACAAAACCACTTCCCTAACCCTTTCAGTGAAAAAAATGTTAACCCCTTCCATCCTCCCCAGTGCCATTAGTATACAGTGTCAGTGTTTTTTTCCACTGATCACTGTATTGGTGTCACTGGGGATGTCAGTGACCCCAAGTCAGTTTCAGCCCAGTGTCAAAATGTCCGCCGCAAAGTCCCGCAGTCCTGCAGTCCTGCCAAATGTCGCTGATCGCCGCCGCCATATGTCGCTGATTGCTGCCATTATTAGTATAAAAAAAAATTAAAAATCCCGAGTATCTTTCCCCGCCATTTTGTAAACGCTATAACGTTCATGTAAACCAATTAATTTACATGTATTGGGATTTATTTTTTTAGCAAATACATGTCTCAGAATGCATTTTGGATGAAATTTGTGACAAAATTTGATTTTTAAATTTTTTTTTACTGACATGTTTTATAGCAATAAGTCCAAAATATTGTTTTTTTTTCTCAAAATTGTCAGCCTTTTTTTTTATAGCGCAAAAAATTAAAAAACGCACAGGCGATCAAATACCACCGAAAGAAAGCTCAATTTGTGGGAAAAAAAATGGATGTTAAATTTAATTTGGGTGCAGTGTTGCATGACCGCGCAATTGTCAGTTTTAAAGTAACGCAGTGCCGTAACACAAACCTCTTCTGTAACCGCTTCCTGATCACCCTACAGCAGAAATACTGCTACAGGGCGGGAGCATGGGTACGCAAAATCACACATATATAATATATATATATATATATATATACACACATGTGATTCCTGCTCCTGTGGTTTTCACACCCCCTCCCAGATAGTGTCAGATTGCCCGTCAGTACACCAGACATCACATTTAACCCCTTGATTGCCAGGAGCACTCATGTACAATAAACCTCCATTGCTAGTATAGTGTCTGAACGGGTCAATATCTTTGTCAGGTCAGCACTATACCAGCGTTCACATTAGTATAGCGTCCCCAAAAACACAGCGTTAGCAGGATCAGCCTCTGCACCTGCCAACACCTGCGTTTAGCCCCCTGACGGCTACGCTTACCCCCCCTTCTCCCCCAGCAAGTGCAGTGTCAGTAGGTCACTGTCACTTGATACATTTGCACACAAAACCGCAGTGTTCGCAGAATCAGGACTGATCTCTGTTAGCACTTGCCGATAAATTTTGATGACTCTCATATGCAGCAGAGTACCAGTACTAGTGCCACGCTACCTTTTGGTGAACTGTCGAGTACCAGCGGTCTAGTACATCCTGGTCTTTCACATACCTCCTTGATTTGTGGAGCTGTTTTTCATGGAATATCTGTATGCGTTGATTGTGGATCAAAGCAATTTATATGCACAACAATTTATTGCCGCCAACCCAAATTCAAACTTTGCCAGACCATTCACATAGAAACTCATTACGGTTTCAAAATTACATTTTTTTGGGCCTAACCCTCAACATGGGCATTACTAAAAGAAATGAATTGCGGTTGTATTGGTCTGCAGACCCGATTCATCATATGCTGTGTTTCTCTGCTGCCATGGCCAAACATAGATATGAGAGTATAATGTGTTTTATGCATTTCAGCGACAATACACTCTGTCATCCTCGGGGTAACCCTGAATTTGACCGGCTCCACAAAATTCAGCCCCTCGCAAATCACCTTAACCTAAAATTTGCAGATGTCTATACTCCCCAGCAAAACATCTGCGTTGATGAGTCCCTTATTAATCTTTCTGGCCGCCTTGCATTCAAACAATTTCTCCCCTGCAAGTGTGCCAGATATGGGGTCAAGATGTAGAAGACCTGTGAGAGGACAACAGGCTATACTTATAAAGTTTTGGATTTACGAGGGAAAAGATAGTCACGTGGAGCCCCGCCTGGATGCCCAGACTACATGTGGAAGCAGTGGCCAAGATAGTTTGGGGACTTGGTGTCTTCATTTCTCCATATGGGGTACCACTTATACGTGGACAATTTTTATTCAAGTGTGCCACTATTTAGACATTTATTCAATCTTGGAACTGGCGCTTGTGGCAAAATGTGACCTAATGTGTGCCCACCATTAGAAGTGGGTGGATGCAGGGCGGTATATTCTAATGGTGGGCATACCACACACTTTTCCTGGCAGAGATTTCTTCTCATTTTTTTCATTCAGTCCACAGGCTGCATACAAAAAAAAAAAAAAAGAACATAGCATATATACCCAACAAGGACCAGCGATGTACTGGTATATCACTGGATTTGAATGGTTATACCAGGATGATGCCTACAGGTGCAGGCATCATCCTGGTGTTGTTTTTCTCAGCCGCCGTGATCGGCTTTCATGTAAAAGCAATCCTAGTCGCTAATTAGCTGAAAGATTGCTTTTACAAGCAGTGGGAGATGATGTCCCCCCTCCCCCCGCTGCTTTCCACGGCCTTCTCGGGCAGTCCCGTGCCATCAGGGGGAACCTGAGAATGCAGCCGGTGTTTCTGCCAGCTGACCATAGAGCTGATTGTAGACCAGAATGATGCCAATCATCTTTATAGTCTAAGAATTTGGAAGCTACAAGCTTTTCATCACTTCAGTTTCGCAGGATATAAAACAGCGCCATTTGTAAATTGGGAAAGCATCTGATCACACCGATTTTGGTTTGATTAGATAATGTAAGGGCAGAGGAGATATCTAGAGTCTGATAGACCCCAGATTTCTCAAAAAAGAATATATGACAATACCCATTGAAGTTATAGGGGTTATTTTGCATTCCCTGTTATAGCATTAAAAGTGATAAAATAATGAAAAGGTACAATGTAAAAATAATTTTTAAAAAAATCAAAAATAACTAAAAAAGAAAAAAAATTGCCCCTCCCATACGCGCACACCTGTGTGCACAAGCCTTGACCCTGTGTCGGTATGTAAACATGCATGTTGAGGTATTGCTGTGAACGTCAGATCAAGGGCAGTAATTCTAACACTAGACCTCCTCTGTAAATCTAAAATGGTGGCTTTTTAAAGGCTTTTAAAGCGCTGCCTATGGATATTAAAAAATCTGTTTGCAGTTTTGTCGCCATTGAACGGGGCAATGCGCAGTTTTAAAGCATGTCATGTTTGGTATCTATTTACTCAGCATACCATTATCTTTTATATTTTATCAAACAATTGGCCAATATATTGTGTTTTTGTGCATTAAAAGTAAAAAAAAAGTGTATTTTTTTTTTTTAAATTGCTTTTGAAAAATCGCTGATCTGCACCAGTATATGTGCCATAAAAATATTGTAGTACCCACCATTTTATTCACTAGGTGTCTGCTTTAACCTTTTGCCGTCCCTGCTGTTTATAAACGGCAGGGTGGTGGCAGTCCAGGGTCGGGTTGCCGTTCATAAAACGGCACCCGCCTTTTCTAGCTGTGCGCGCTCCCCTGGGAGCGCGCACCACCGCGATCCGGTGCCCGCTGTGTCCTCCGGACACAGTGAAACACCGATCGTCGGACGGGAACCTCTGTACGAGGTCCCGATCATGTGATCACGGATTGGCGAATCAGTGATCACATGCAAAGTAGTAAGCAAGATGTCACTTGTGACATCATTGCTTACTATGTGTGAAATCTGTAAATGATCACAGAAGGTCACATGGTACAAGGCTATTCACAACAGCCTTGCACCATGTGACAAGCTGTGACCACTCACAGCTCACTCAGTAATTCTCAATGACTGCAAGAATGCAGACAGAGAGAAAGAGAAAATGATTGCTTTTACATCCTATATGGGTATAAAAGCAATCAGTGTAAAAAAAAAATCTTCATCACCCTCCACAAGTAGTACAGTGTCCACCATGGTGACAGTGTACTGCTAGGGTGACAGTATGTAAAAAAAATAATAATAATAATAATATAAAAAAAATAAAATAAAATGTAAAAAAGAATGTTTAAAAAATTATAATTTTTGGTTATAAACTAATATGGATTTTTTTTTTTTTACTAAAAAAATAACGGAATAAATTTTGGCTAAGATTTATGATGAAATATTATTTATTTGCAAAATTTTATTTAAAAAAACACTTTTTTCAAAATTTTTGAACTTTTTCATTTACATAATAAAAAAAAATAAAAATCCCAGCGGTGAAATAAATACCACCAAAATAAAGCTTTATCTGTCTCAAAAAAATGGTAAAAAATTCATATGGGTACAGTATTGCATGACCGCGCAATTGTCATTCAAAGTGTGATAGCGCTGAAAGCTAAAAATTGCCCTGGACAGGAAGGGGTAAAAGTGTCCGGACAGGAAGTGGTTAAAAAAATATATAATGTTTGGGGGTTTAAATTAATTTCCTAGCAAAAAATACTGATTTTTTTTTTAATGTGAACAAAAAGGCTTGGTCTTCAGGTGGTTAGAAGAGTGAATGATGATGTGTGGCATAAACTTCTAATGCTGGGCATAAAACGCCCCCACCCCCCAAAAATGACCCCTTTTTGGAAAGTAGTCACCCAAACTATTTGCTGAGAAGAAATGTTGAATCAATAGAAGAATTTATTTTTTTACCACAAGTTTTTGGAAAACGACAAAAATAAATATATATATTTTTTTTTTTTTTCACAAAATTGTCACATTAAATGATTTACTGCTCACACACATGCCATGGGTATATGTGGAATTACTCCCAAAATACATTTTGCTACTTCTCCCGAGTATGGGGGT